TCGAAGGCACGAGGCCGTGGCGAGGGCGCGCGGTCCAGGCTGCTGTAGGCGTCTGGCTGCAGGTAGAGCGGGGTGCGTGGCGACGAAGGGCGGCCCTTGGGAGACAGCTGGCTGTAGGGGTGCAGGACCGGGGCGCTCTCGGAGCGTCCGAACAGGGTGTCCGTGCTGTCGGTGGCCGCCTTCCGGGAGGACCCGCGACTGCCGAAGGGCTCCGGAACCGGGCTGGAGCTATACCGGGTCAGCTGTGGGAAGGAAGGCCGGCCAGCAGGTGATGTTAGTCGATGGGTCGGCCAAACCAAATTCACTATCGAGTCGATTCGGACTCACACGGGACAGGGTAGGGCTGCCCTTGTAGGGGGTATCTCTCGATGGGAATAGAAAGCTGCTTCTTTCTCCTTCAGAGTGGCCGGTGACTTCGAGCTGCTGACCTCGTGGTTAGTAGCCCACTGCATAACCCACTACGCCACCAGCGCTCCTTGGAGGGGTCGGTCTCGCTCACTGCCATCGAGTCAATTCCTACTTAACAGGGACCCTGTAGGACAGGGTAGAACTACCCCTGTGGGTTTCCAAGACTGTAACTCTTCACGGGAGCAGAAAGCCTCGTTTTTCTCCCACGGAATGGCAGGTGGTTTTGAATTGCTGACCTCGGAGCTAGCAGCTAGGCACATAGCGCTACACCACTAGGGCTCTTGCGAGGGCAGCAAGGAGAGGGGCTAAAAGGGTCATCCAAAGGTCAGCCCAAGGGCCTCAGAGCCCAGCTGGAGAGAGCCCAGGTGAGGGGTCATGGCGCACTTTTGGCGGGACAGTCCCGATTTTTGGCGCTTTTAAAAAGTCCTGATTTTTGGAAAGAATGCACGACAAGCTAGGGAACGGTCTATTTGGTCCATCTAGACCAAATTTTTAATCAAGGGCCCCTACCCCCACCCCACCCCGGTCAATGGTGCCCCACTTTAAATCTGGTCACCTTAGTCATGGGGCCAGAGCCTGCGTGCCTTTGTGCAGCCTAGAGAAAGGACCCTTTCCTTCTGGGCTCCTGCGGTCCCTCCCAAGTGTCTTTGAAAAGTCTCCGACCTGCACAACCCTCTGTGGCAGCCTTGTTTGAAATCCAGGCCGCTAGCCAAGGGTGTGGAGAAGAGCTGGTTTTGTGGGCCAGGGCGGGGACCAAGGTAAAAGGGCTCACCCTAGTGGGGGCTCCAGCCTGGGGGCTGGGAGGTGCCGGCGTGTCTGACCATAATGACTCCAGCTGTTTGGTCAGTTCGTCTACCTTGGCCACGGCCGTGTCCAGCTCCATCTGCTTCAAGTCCATGTGCTTCATGGCCAGCGCTGAGAGGCAGGGGAGGTAAGGGCGAAGTCTCTAGGCAAGACCTGTCCCCAAGCCCTTCGCCCCCCAGCCCAGCTGGCCCCGCCCCCGAGCCCAGCTCACACTGGAAGTTCAAGTCCAGAAGATCCCGGCTGGTCTGGAACGCCTCGCTGTCCATGGTGCCAGCCGGAGAAGGGGATGGGCAGGAGGGCGGAAATGCCTGTAGGGGGAGGAGCCTCCTCAGACTCCGCCCCTCCAGACTCCGCCCACAAGGAACCTGCAACAGAGAGAAGTGGGATTTGTAGGGATGGTGCGGACCAGCGTCTTGACTCTCCTGTGTCTGCCACTGGTACCAGTGTGTCCCTCTGCTTCCGGCGCGTTCAATGCCCAGTGGGCATGCCACCCAGGAGACCCAAGAGCTTTTGAAGGGCTCAACCATGGCACCCTCTTTACTGGGTTCCTGGCCCATCTCGATCTCAGCTCCACTAAGACTTGGCATTATGTTTTCATCAGTGACCTATAGTTGAACCTTTAATTGAATCTGCTTGGAGATGACTTCGACTCATAGGGATTCCCTACGACTCAGTGGAACTGCCCCACAAGGGGGGGACGACGGTTTCTAGACTCTTATCTTCACTGGAGGAGCCTTGGGGGAGTGCCATGGATTATACCTCCTTCATTGGAGGAGCCCTGGGGGAGTGCCATGGATTATACCACAAGGTCAGCGGTTCAAACCCACCAGTCGCTGAGGCTTTCTGCCTTGGAAACCCACAGGAGCGGTTGGGCTCTGCCCTCTAGGGGCGCTGCGCGATGGAATCCCCTGGGTGGCAGTGAGCTTCCGGTTTTGTTTTTCATCTGTTTTACAGGAGGCGCAGATCCCCAAGTCTTTCTCCAAAGGAACAACTGGGTGGGTTTGAACCCCCAACCTTTGGGTTAGCCATCAGGGTCCCGTATGGTGAGACTCAGGATGTCCTCATAGCCCCATTCACGGCTATGGGCCCAGATCGGACTCAAGACGACTTGATAACAGTTTCTGAATAAGAGCTATCGATGGATCGGATGCCTAGTCTGGGCTAGACATTGGGTTTGATGCTGGCGCAATTAAAATACATACATAAATACATACCTATGCCACGGACTGTGTGTAGGACCTGTGCCTTGTGTTTGTCCATAATAGAAACCACTATCACTCCCTGAGGGGTAACTGCCTTGCAGAACCAAGCTGCAGCCTCTGCACCCAGTACTTCAACCAACACTCAAAAACAGGGGTCCTCAAACTTTTAAACAGGGGTCCGTTCACCGTCCCTCAGACCCGTCGGAGGGCTGGACTATAGTTAAAAAAAATAACTATGAACAAACTCCTATGCACACTGCACGTATCTTATTTTGAAGTAAAAAAACAAACGGGGCAAAAACACCGGCCAGGCGGGATAAATGTCCTCTGCAGGCCGCATGTGGCCCGCGGGCCCTCGGTTTGAGGACGCCTGGTCCAAAGAGTTGCCGACGAGCCCATCTCAACTCAGGGCAACCCCCTGAGTATCAGTCCTCCCCAACTCCCACTGGGTCGTCAGTGGTTGGTTTTGGGGAGAATCAGATCGCCAGGCATTTCTTCCAAGGCACTTCTGGGAAGACTTGAACTGCCAACTCCCTGACTAGCCAAGCTGGTAAGCCATTTGTCGCTCCCCGAGGCCTCCCCCACTACCTTAGCCGGCCAGAAGGTGAAGTTCAGGTGTACAGTCATGCAGCAGTTAGTCGGCAGTACTGGGGCTTGACACTCAGATCTGATTATGCGGGGTCATCTCCACTGGGCCAGGGTGGTCCCAGGGTGCTGGGACTGCTCAGCTTCCTGTTCCCTCCATCCCTGCCCAGGGGAGGCCTCACTTTTCTTAATGTGGTGACAGGCAGGAGGGACAGGGAGTGCCCTGGGCAGATGGGGCGCTGTGGTCATTGGCCCAGAGGGAGGGGACCAGGCCAGCAAGAACCGGTCAGGTCAGTGCCATCTCCATTCTAGCTGCCACACCCACCAGTCCTGCCACCTCCCCCTGCACCAACCCATTAGCCTCGGTGATGCCGGCGTGGGCAGCAGGGCGGGTTGGGGCATGCCAACCTGGGCCTCTGTCTGGGAAGCCTCGGGAATAGGACTTGTTGGGGCTGGCGGCTTCTCTGGGGGTGTTGGGACAGTGTGACCCTGGGGCCTCAGTTTCCCCTGACAGTGAATGGAAGGGGGAAACCTGGGGCCTTTGCACTCAGGGAGGCCTCCCTTCTGAAATGGTCAGAACCACGAGGCTAGAATTAAAGTTCTAAAAAAACAACAACAGCCAAAACAGCCTGACTCGGCGAACATGTGACAGGGCACTGCCATTCCTCTAGGGCAGCGGTGCTCCACCTTCCTCACGCCGCGACCCTTTCACACAGTTCCTCATGTGGTGGTGACCCCCAACCAGAACATTATTTTCGTTGCGACTTCCTGTCATTTTGCTACTGTTATCAGTCGGCGACCCCTGTGAAAGGGTCATTCAACCTCCAAAGGGGTCGAGACCCACAGGTTGAGAACTGCTGCTTTAGGGTTTTCTGGGTCTTTGAGGAAGGGAAGCAGATGGTCAGTCCTTTCTTCTGCGGTGAGTTTGAACCACCAACATTTAGGTCATAGCAAACACTACAGGACAAAGTAGGGCTGCCTCTTGGGTTTTCTGGGGCTTTAAATCTTTACAGAAGTAGACAGCCTCATCTTTCCCCCCTTGGAGCTACGGGTGGGTTTTGAACCATGGACCTTGTGGTTACCAGCTCAATGTATAATCCCTGCTGGGCTCCTTTACCAACCGGGGGTTCCTAATTAAGGTTCTAAGGGGGCTAAAGTCCTCAGCCTAGGGTTCTATCGTTAGAAAGTTGTTAGCCCAGATTCTAGCTTTTGGAACATTCTAGAACGCCTTTGCTTTGGATATTCCAGAGTCCTAAGTCTTTCTCCACCTCTTTCTCGTTTTCCGAGGGTTCCACTGTCCTCCAGGGAGGTCAGCACAAGCAATGGAGCCAGACTTGAAGGGCTCGAATCTGGTCGGAATGGTGATCTGACCCTAATACGAGGCTTAATCGGTGTGCCTCAGTTTCCTGATCTGCAAGATGGTCATGCATCACAGCCCACCTCAAGGGGCTTTTGTGAGGCCCCAACTGGTCAGAAGGTGCAAGGGGGAGCTCAGAGAACTGTCTTCTCAGAAAGGGGACAGCAACAGGAAGCAAAGCTCCAAGCTCATGGCTTTCAGTGTCTCTGAGAGACACTGTCTGTCCACATTCCAGCAGTGAGTGGCCCTCTGGGGGAGTTCTCCAGTCCGGCTGACATCCTCTGGCTCCAAGGAAATGCCAGCCCTGGGCGTGGGGTCGTGGCCAGACCCCTGCAGGCCAGTGGGAGGGCGGCCAGTGCCTGAGCTCAGGCCCTGGGAATGCGCTGCGGGCCCGGGCAGGTGCTGCACCTCCC